ACTTAGCCTAGCTATCTGAAGTTTGAAGTATCTATATGTACTGCACATGAGCAGATATCACAACAACCACGCATCATATGAAAAGAGGTGTGGCTGCTAATTAACGCGCTTTGAGCTCTCGTCTCTCTAAATAATGGCTACCCCAAACTCTTTATTGGTTCTTTCATGGATTTCTTTACTTAAGGGCGGCGTTACGATGAATGAAGACGAACTTAACGATAAATCAATCTTGTACACCCTATTTTGCTCTACAACCAGGCGAAGTGTCGAAATACCTTTCAGAAGCAAAGCAAAAGCTGCCTCTTTCATGGGTTGGAAAGATAGTAAATCGTTGCTATACTATGCTTGTATGAATAATTGTATTGATGTAATTATGTTAGCATGTTCGTTCTATACTCCTGATGATATTTACGAATGCATTGATGTATCTCTATCTAGATCTAGTAGCAATATAGTATTGACCTTGATAGCCGCGCTTACGTTTGATTACTTTATTTCACAAAAAATTCAACGAGTCTTCAAACCTTTGCAAGCAGAAATTACGCCTATTACCTTCAAAGACATAACTTTATCTTCACTTCACGTTGCTGCTGCATTGAATGACGTGGATTCTGTATCTCACTTTGTTCAGAGCAACAAAGCTAATGAATTGTGTGGCATTAAGCGTTTCTTTGAAGAGGACAAATCTCCACTTTATTATGCTGTAATTTATGCTGCCAATGATGTAGTTCATTATCTAGCTCAGGAGGTAGATGTAGGTGTTTTGCATCGTTGTATCAGATCAGTATTAACCACTGGCACATCTAAGATGAAATCAAGTAAATCTCTTTATTTATTACAACAGCGATACCTCAGCATCATATTTGAAAAGGATAAGCCACACAATATAGATAAAGAGAAATTTGATGCTATTGTAAATGATTCAAGCTACCCTATTCATCACTCTATACATTTGAGATACTTTTCCATAGCTTTATATCTTCTTAGAAGTCATATTTTCAACATCAACTCTCTTAATGAAAATTTTTTGACACCATTGCAGATAGCTATTGAGTCAAAGTGTTTAGAGACCATAAGAACTATAACAGAATACTCTGATTGCAATTTATTGTGCAAAAACGTCAAAGGCCTCACACCACTTCATTTAGCATGTGAATCAGGATGCTTAGACATCGTGCAGCATTTCATAAATGATAAAGAGATTGATGTTAATATTCCAACTTCAAATTTGGATTCGCCTTTGCACATTGCTTGTAAAAATTGTCACCTTAACATTGTTAAATTTTTAACTAAAGACTCAAAATGTGACATTGAAGCAGTAAATCGAAATAGTGATAGACCTATCCATGTAGCTGTTCAGTCTGTCAACATTGATATCGTTAAACATCTTATCAGCAGAAACTGTAATCTCAATGTAAAGGGTCAAAAAGGTCACACACCACTACATTATGCTTGCATAGTGGGGGGACAGAGGGGTGGCTTTGAACTTGTTAAAATACTTACCAGTGTTCCTCAATGTGATATTAATGCTTTTGATAATTTTAATGAAGGGCCTATACACAAAGCATCACGTGTTGGTAATTTGGATATTGTTTCTCATCTTATGAAAATTAAAGGCAAAAAATGTAAA